AACTGTCCTAGAGCTCCCTACTTCTTCTGAACCAGCCAAAGTTGCTCTCACATATCTCAGGGGCTTTGCACTTAAATGTTTCTTATGCTTGAAATGCTTTTGCACCTCATCTTTATGTAGCTAACTTTTCATCGAATTTCAGCTTAAATAGCCCCTGAGGCACCTTAATTGTCCAGTAACTATTGTATCAGCCTGTTTCCTCAGAGCCCCTAACACTATTTCATGTGTTCAGACTATGTCCAGTGCTGTTTAAAGCAGAGACGTTTTATTTTGATCACTGCTCTTTAGTTTGCACTCAAGACTGTTCCCGGTTCTTGACAGGTGCTCAGTAATAACTGATTAATGAGCAGAGGTTGAAGAGATGGCTCGTCTGTTAAGAGTATGTGCTGCTATTCCAGAGGACCCCAGTCCAGTTTCCAGCACCCACGTTGGGCAGACACAACCTCCTGTAACTCCAGCTCCAGGAAATCTGGCGCCTTTCTTCTGGCCGCGGCTGTCTGTCTCTGTCTCTGTCTCGTCTCTCGTCTCTCTCCTCTCTCTTTAAAAGAACAGCAGCTGGAGAGATGGCTTGGTGGTTACAAATGCATATTCCTGCTGGGGACCTGAGTTCGATTTCCAGCTCCCACGACGGGCAGCTCACAAGTGGTTAACTCCAGCTCCAGGGCCAAAACCTGCTTCTGGCATCCGTGGGCACCCACACTCACATACACATACCCACACACGGACATATAATTAAAACAAAATAAATCTTTTAAAAAAAAAAAGTTAACACAAAATCTGAGATGTTTCTAACAACCAAGTGAAGAGACGAATGAATGAATATACCACTGTAGGAGTCTGGTAAGAGATCTAGGCAGGAAACAAAATATTAGAAGTCCCAATGAGAGCACGGTTTACTGACGGAGAGCGGGGCTAGCAAAGAGCCTTGCGCTGAGCAATCCCACTCAGGGAGTCCTTGGAGGAGGGAAACAGGCCTTTGGGACAGGTTTGTCCCTGGCACCATCCATCCTCCACCGGCCTCCGCCCACCGGGCCCTCACGCACCTCTGGCGGATCCATCCTGCGGGGCCGCCACCCTCTTAGTGAGGGGCGTACGTTTGGGTCCGCCGATCTGTGTCTGCAGCCCGTATGAGAACTGCGGCGGGTCGTTCCAGCCGCGTTCCTTGTTGCCTGTGAAGGCGAGGGGATGTGTGAAGCGAGACCGGGAACATAACGGAGGTTACATTGGGGCTGGGGGTCGGGGGGATCAGAGGGTCCGCACCGAGTGCCCCCAGCCCGCTGGCAGCGCTCACCCGGCTTCACATACAGCTCCGCCATCTCCACTTCCGCACTGCCAACAGGGCAGCACGTCATTTCCGGGGCGGCAACTAACGCGAGCTGGCCGGAATCACGGCCGGCGCAATCTCGCTGGCCAGAGGTCTGGGAGGTGGCATGGCAGATCCTCTAGGATCTGCCTCCAGGGCCTTTTACTAACCCCTTAATAGACCAAGGCTCTGGATAATGATCTGGGGGCCCTCAGGAACGAATTCAAACACACTAAGTCTGCTCTCCCAGTGCCCTTTGTGACCTAGCCAGGTCGACCTCTGGAGTCTCACCTGTCTGTGGACTGTCCTGAACGATCTCTACACTCATTGTCTCTAGGCTTGCTAACAACTCAGTACCTAGATATGTCAACTCCAGAATTTTTTTTGAAATGCCTTAGACAAGGTTGTGTCTCACCTGAGCTCCCACAACCCTCTGGTAGTTCCTGGTTGAACTACCGTGGTATCTTATATCTTTTTTGATTTGGTCACTTTCCCTCTAAAAGTCTCAGAAGAAATCCTGACAAGTGTAGTATCTGGCACAGAAACTACTTCAGAAATGTTTGTTGAATGAAGTCAAATCTCCATTACAGTCATACTTTCAGTGACTACAGGCAGTCACCAACACCAAGCACACACCTCACATAGGTCAGTGTCCCCCACCCCTATCCCAGATCCAATATACTCACAACTAGTGAGGTCACTAAGGGATTTTTATTTGCACAGATTTTGCTATAAAGTGTTGCTGAGGTAGAGCCAATTGTCCAGGGCTGGACAGGGGCAAGGAACAAAAGGATTCAAGGAAAGGGGAGCCAGGGGCCTAAGTTATAGTGCAAGGCCTCTCAATCATCCATATAAACAATAAACAGGGCAATAAATACAGGGCAGGCAAGGATCAGGGCCAGGCAAAAAGGTGAGAGGCTACAGGCCCCTGGGGAATGGAGGGGTATAGAGTCTAGGGTATGAATTCAGAGCCTCCTTCTCCAGCCCTCTAAGATCAATTTAGGACATATGGAGGAGAGAGGGTTTCAGCCTGAAGGCATCAAGAAAAGAGAAAACACCCCGCTTTCGAGGAGCTGCTCCAGCACCCCCAACCCCTCCTTTGAGTAGGGGGAGAGGTAGGGGACCGCCTGGGGAGTCCATGGAGCTGGTCCGCTTGAGCCGCAGGCGGGCACGGGCCTGGGCACCCCAGGCCTTGCCCCGAGCTGCAGAGGCCACCAGACACTTCTGGTACTGAACCTAGGGAGAAGGGTAATGTGAGGATACAGCTTTCTGCCCCTGGACACCCTGAAAGTTTCTGCAGGGCAGGCAACTGGCCAAGGATTGTGACACAATGTCAGCAGTCATTTCTGCAGTCCCTATAGCATTCCCAGGTAGCTCAACAGCAAAAACATAAAACATGACATTTACTGAGCATTTAAGGAAAGCTAGACACTGTTAAGTGCTTTGTATGACCATTTAATTTAAGCTGGTAATTTATGAGGTGTTATTTTCCCCATTTTGCAAATGAAGATATCAAGATTCCAAGATAATGATTTGTCCAAGATCTCACAAATAGAAGATGGTGGAACTGGTATTCAAATGTAATTCTGTCCAGCTGCAAAGTCTGCCCTCTTAACTACAGCTCCTACTATGGGACCTCTCCTCATCTCTTACTACTCTGGACAAGTCTCTGGCAAAGCAGATTCTCTAGTGAAGTCTATAATCCAAATCCATTCCCAATACAACTTCCCCAGTCAAACTCTCATTTACTCAAAATGGGTAATAATTAGCCTTCCTGCCTTCTGTTGTGTCCTCCAAATCTTTTTACCCACACTGGAGCTTACTTTAGTGGATAAAACCCCAAAATTTTACCTTACTGTCCTGCTCAAAGCCCTTCAAGGGCTCCCTGGGCCTCAGGTTAACCTATAAGTTCCTGGTTTCTGTCATTTTTCTTTGTTCTCATCTATCACCACATCCTCTCTTACAGGCCACATACACCATGTTCTTTCAGATACTCTAATCCACTAACATCTCTCTCTCCTGAGTGTCTCTGTGCTTGGTATACTTGTCCTACTTCTCTTTACCTGGTACACTTCCTTTTTTGTTTTTTCCTATCACCTGCTACAGGTAGCCTTTCTGGCCCCCTGAGGGAGCATCTCTAGCATCAAGTGGTGCATGACTTATTTCTGGTGTGTTTCACTCTATTCTAAATGTTCTGTGAAAGCAAAGGCTGTGCCTTCTAATGAATTCCCAGAATTTAAGTATAGTGGTTAGCCTTGTAGGTACTCATTTGTTGAATGAATAAGTGAATTGAACTAATGTAGCTTAAGCAGCCTACATTCAAATGTCCACATACATCAAGAAAGAAGTTGAATCAGACAAATAGGAAAAAAAATACCCACTCTGTACAACTCCAGTTGCATGCTGAAAAGGTGTGTGTGTTTGTTTGTGTGTGTGTGTTTGTGTGTGTGTGTGTGTCTGCGTGTGTATATGTCACTTGGTGTCAGCACTCCTCATACTTTTAGAAAAACAAATATAGCAATTACTATGTCAAATTCCCTGGACTTTATTTTTATTTTTTAATATTTTATTATCGTTTATGTGTATGTATGTATTGCCTGCATGTAGGTAAATGCACCTGTGTTGTGCAATGCTCGCAGAAGACAGAAGAGGCTGTTGGATCCCCTGGAACTGGAGTTATGGACAGTTGTTAGCTGCCACATGGGTGCTGGGATTAGAACCCAGGTCTTCTGCAAGAACAGTGTTCTTAACCACTGAGCCATCTCTCCAGCCCCAAATTCCCTGGACTTTAAATATGGGTAATTAAACCAAAACTTAGAAACCAGATATTTATAAACCAGATTTGGCCCTGAGATCATTGGGTTGTGATTTATGGTGAAGCTGCTGATCCTGAGCTTAGTCTGCAGTAGCGAGAAGTTGCAGGGCAACTCCCCACTCCCATTCCATCCCTAACTTACCATACAGGCAGCCTGCACAGCTTCAGAGAGTCCCCCAGCATGAGGCTGGCACCAGAAGGCTGCACATTGGAAGCTCTGACAGCCAAGGTCGGCAATGAGGCCAAAGGTGTGTGGATCACGGCCAACACCAATAAAAGTCACAAGGCGCACAGGGCACTGCCACAGTGGCTCCTCCTCTGCACCAGCCTCTGCCTGCCCACACAAAGCCTAGTCACTAGAAGGCTGAGCAATAGTCAGACCCATTACTTCCACCACCAAGACACACACACACACACACACACACACACACACACACACTTCAACATGCCTGCTCACCTTCCACAGCCCCCAACTTCACCCTCTTCTGGTACCTGAATGGAATGTGCAGTCATGAGAGAGTCAGATACACTGAGCATGGCAGGGACCCAGGTATTCCGGTCTCTCCGGGCAGTGAGAGTGCCAATGGCCTCATTCAGCACATCCATACCTAGGGAGACATGCACATTGTGGTGTCTGGCTTGGAAAAAGAGTCTGCAGGGAGTTTCTAGGACACTTTTACTGATGTGGGATTCAGAGAGCTGGGAGGAGAATAGCTGGGCCTGGTCATGTGAGGACTCTGAGACATGGTACAGTACAGATCTTGCATCACCCACCTTCCCTTTTCCTTATGCACCCTGCCTCCTCCAGCCCCCTTAGTCCTTACCCATGGCTTTGGTGACTGGCAGGATCCCCATGTACAATGCCTCGTACCTCTGAGCAGCCTGGCTCACTGCATCCAGCAGCTCCACTGAAATATATACACCAAACAGGCACAGAAACTCTAAATAACCCTTTTCCACCCTTTTTTTTCAGGGGGGTGGGGTAGGGGGTAAGGAGACAGGGCTTCACTATGTAGCTAGTTCTGGCTGGCCTAGAATTTGCTCTGTAGACCAGGTTGGCCTTAAATTTCTGCCAGTCTTCCTACTTCTGCCTCCCAAGTACTGGGATTATAGGTATGCCACACCATGCCCAGCTTCCTCTCCCTTTCGAATGTGCCAGGATTCAAGCCAGAGCAGTTGTTAGTAAAAGAAAGTCCACAGATGTGCCTCCAAATCACTGCTAAATAACCAGGAAACCTACTCCTTGACTACTCCTATCTTTCACCAAAGCAGCCTAATGCTGCAATGCAAGGCCCTCCCCATACCTTGCCTTGGGAGGTCTTCAGGGGAAATGGGGTCTGGAGAGCAGCAAGCGGCATCACCACTGACTCCTCGCTCTGACAAAATCTAAAATACAATGCAACCAGCGTGAGACGCACAGAAGGAAAGGGAAATCAGGGTAAGGGGCCAATACCACCCTGGCCCAACTCCCTTAGAGGCTTTAGCCCCAGCTCCATACCCATATTCCCTGGGCCTCACCTGAGCACAGAGGCCCTGTAGGGCACTTGCAATGGCCTTTGCAGGGACATCACAATGAAACACGTGGCACTTCAACATACAGCTGTCTTTGTCACCCGCCACAAAAGCAAAGTCCCTGATGGGGCAGAGATGTAGCTGTTTAGAAGTAGGGGCCTACTAAGTATCTGTAAGAGGCTTCTAAAGTTAGGCTAGGGATATGGCACAGTTGGAGTAGGGAGGTCAGGGCTAGGGCTCCCAGTACCTGGTTGGCACTTACCTGTCACTATTCCAGAAGCATGTGGGAGCACAGGAGAAAAGTCAGCCCAGCCTCTCAGACTCCCCTATCTGTCCCTGCTGAGCTGGGCCCACTGGGCCCACCCACCCCAACCAGGGCTGGACCAGGCATGGAAGGTAGTGCTGGGTTCACGTCAGAGGATCTGTGTCCAAGGGGTCAAGTACCAGGGATCAGCATCAGTGGGGATCACAGCCTGCAAGGGAGAAGGGGGAAGCAACTCTCGACTTGGGAGATGCAGAAGTCCTTACCGGCCCTTAGAGCTGCCCACACCCCATACACGGATGTGCACCAGAGGCTGACAGTGGATCATACTGTGGTCCAAGGGATTCACCAGGCACATAGCATCTTTCTTCAGGATCATCAGCATGTTCTGCCCCTGTCAAAGACCGAGGGTTGGCCCAGAGACCAGATAAAGGTGGCAATCATGGGGGAAAAAAAAAAAAATTAAGAGAAATGACTACGGTGGGGCCATAGGCTAAACCCCTTGGGGGACTAGACAACTTACCTCACCCCAGGCACCATCTGAGGGCTGGCTCCGGTTGCGAGTCTGGGCCAACTGCTGGATACAGTTATTGACAGCAATACTGCTCTTCCCTGGTGCTAAGTCCTCCTCAGGTACCTCTACCCAGCCCAGAGAGCGGACTGCAAAGCACTGACAAGTTGGGAGAAAGGACAGGAGAGACTAGGAGTGGAGTGGCAGGTGACACAGACTCCACTCATATAAACTCTGGTAGTCCTGTTTCACCCCTGATCTTCCCCTTGCCATCTCCCAATGTCCTAGGCTGGCCCTCAGATCCAATCACTACCTTAGCTCCTGGCTCCAGGTTCTGGACATAGGAATCTTCACCATACCAGTTCACAGAGTTACTGGAACAAAGAGCAGAGCTGGTAAAAGGATCACAGTTCCTATACTGGGGCAATGATGAGGCCTAGCCTACTTGATCAAGCAAAGAATGAGGGACAAGACCCAAAATATAGTAAATTAACAAAATGTAGTTTAAAATTTGAAGGGCTGGAAAGATGGCTCAGCGGTTAAGAACACTGGTTGTTCTTGCAGAAGACCCAGGTTCCAAACCCAGCACCCACATGACAGCTAACAACTGTCCATAACTCCAGTTCCATGGGATCTGACAGCCTCTTCTGTCCTCTCAGGCACTGCATGACATGGGTACACTTATCTACATGTAGGCAATATACTCATACACACAAAATAAAAATAATAAAATATTTAAAAAAATAAAATTTGAAGAAAATTCAGGACACAAGACACAGGCATAAGCTAAAAGTCATAAATACAGCTCTGAATAAAAAAATGTAGACCAAAGGCCCAAGCTGGAACAAGAGATTCTAAAACACTGGATAGGAACCCCAACAGAAACCAAACCAATGGAAAGATTTACTAGAACTTGATAGGTCAGGACAGAGACCACATAACATACTGCTAATGATGATAACTTAGAATAAGAGACAAAATTCAAAATACTGAAAGTCAAGAACATGGGACAAAGCTAAGTACAAAAAATAAAGCCCCAAAGGGACAGAGTCCGGAATCACAGTTTAAAAGCAAATTGTGGGTCAGTAGACTGTTTCTTTTAGTGTTACAGGAACCCCAAGCCTTTCATTTAGCCTGGATCATCCCTGTTACCTCCGGTTCAGTGAGCTGTCCAGGGTGGAGAAGGATCTTCCCTTGGGGGGTCGCAGTTCCCAAATCCCCTCCGTCCCCTGTGGAGTGGGGTTTAGTCAGTATAGCAGCAGGCCTAGGTCCACATATGACCCCAGGACCCTTCTTCATATTCTACCTACCGCTCCTGGGTCCTCTGCACCTCCTAGTTCCCAGGTTGGGCGCTGCCACTGGGTGCTGCCGCTGGGTACATGCCAATAATAAGTACCTGCAGCATCACGGATCTTTCTCCAGCCAGGCGGCAGGCCTGTCTCTCCTTCCAGACTTTGGTCCCCCCACAAGTCATCTATAGGAACAAGGGATTGATTGGAGAAGGGGAGTATATTATTCGTGAGTTCCCTATCATAAACCTCCATCCCAGAGGAGATAGTCCCAAACCTAGCGCTCCAAACTCTCCAGGCTTAAAGACACCACATGCAAAGATCAAGGTTCACTTATCCGGTTCCTCATTCCTGAGGCATAGCCCCCATCACCCTATGTTTGAGCCTCGGATAGCCTTCTTATTCCCTCATCTCCCCTCAGCTTCTGGTCCTCCCAAGCGGCCCTCGGTGCACACCGTCGCAGTTGACCAGGATGATGGCCAACATGTAGTCCTTGCCCAGCATAGCCCTGCCGCGTCCCGGCCGGCGTTTGCCCGCGCGCACTCTGTGCCCAGCGCGCCCTCCGGAGCTGCAGCGCCTACAAGCCTCTGTGCCAGGCACTGACCGGCTAACCCGCACTGTACAGGCACTGCGCGGGACAGGGGCCGGCCTACGGGAGGGAAGAGGCGGGCCAGAGCGGCAGGGCCCGCGCGGTGCTGGGTCCCTGAGTTCGTGCGTGTGAGGGAGGCGCGCCCTCACTAGCAAACTCGTTAGCACCACTCGACAATTAGGAGTTCCTTGGATGGCGGAAGACCGGCGAAAACAGCGGACTCTAAGCATCAGCGCGCAAATGACATCATCGCGCCAGAAATTAGATCATCACGCCCGAATCATATGCGCGCGCACACCCTGGGACGGGAGGAATGGGTCATATGTAAGGTTCTGTCTGGACAGACCCCCCCCCCCCCCCCCAGTTCGTCCGGCCCCCCCCCCCCCCCCCCCCAAGGCTCAGCATCTAAGAAAACGCCCCGCCTTTTCCCGAAATGCCCCGGAAGTGCCTCTGCCCTTGTAAAGATGGAAGTAGCGCTTGACATGTGGGAGGCGGAGCTGCGCCTGCGCAACAAGTTCGGCGGGGAAGATGGCGGATGACAAGGTGAGTGAAAGGGGGTAATTCTCTGTTGGTGTGTTCTTCACGTTCCGTGACCCTTTTAGTTCTAGGCAGAGGCTACAGGGGTACCCCTTGTTTTCTCTGGGATTCTTGTCAACTGCCTCAACAGTAGGGGACTTTAGGCCAGCACGGTGGAGACGGGGATCCCGCAGGCATACCCTTCCAGAGTGTGCCTAGTGACTAGCACACATTCAAACACGTTCCTTCTGAAACACTAGTCACTCTGCCTGGTTCCCTAGCCCCCGAAATCTCCCTTGCAGAGACAGCGTTTCCAGTCCACATGCACATTTACACCACCCTCATTCACACATTGCTCACACATTGAATTTCATACTTACATGCGGCCATTTAGTCTTTTACTAATACCCTTGCTATCGTTCTCTCACATATCCAGGTATTCTCGTTCAGTTTGGGATGGGATGGCATTGGCAAAAATCGGGTTAACCTCAAATTGTCCAGGGAACTTCTTCCACCTATCTACTGCTGGTCTGGAAGCCCAACATCACCCCAGATTTACTAAGTGCTTGCCAGTCTCTATATCAGGCACTGGGACACAGCAGTTAAGGCAGACTGGTGGCCATTTTCAGAGAGCTCACACTTCAGTCAATAGTACTTCCTTGGTAAACCAGGAAGTTCCTCCTGCCTCCCTACACATTGCTTGCTATATGATACTGTACACATTACAAGTTACTGGTGTAGGCCTGGAGTCGTGGTACACACCTTTAATCCCAGCATTCAGGAGGACGGGGCAGGCAAGTCTCTGTGAATTCCAGGCCAGCTATGGCTTTGCAGTAAGACCCTATCTCAAAAAAACAAACAAAAACAGTTAATGGTTTATATTCCATGTGCCACCTCCTCTCTGGCCCCTGTGTGATCTCTTTGCTTTTCAGGGTCTTTCTTCTTTTACCACTGTTATCTCAGGAAGGTTTCCCTAGGAAGAGATTTCTCTGGCTCTCCCCATCATACTTCTCACAGCTCCCCCAGTTCCTAGCGTCTAATAAAACTGAGTAGGGGGTGAGTCTGGATCAAGTCTGCTGGAGCCAGTCTCTCCCTTGTCCTAGGATTCTCTGCCAAAACTTAAGGACCTGACATTTCTCAAGAACCAGCTGGAGCACCTGCAGCAGCGTGTGGAAGACGAAGTCAACAGTGGTGTGGGCCAGGTAAGGGCTGGCCTAACTTGCTCTTGAGAATGTTGAATAGATGACAAAGTTTTATTTAGTAAATGGACATTGAGGCCCAGTCCTCGTTACCCCAAGAAAAGTTTCCCTGAGAAAATAGCACTTGAGCTGGCCATAGTGGCACATACCTGTAATCAATTGGGGCAAGTTCAAAGCCAGCCTGGTCTACATAGTAAATTGTAAGCCAGCCAGGGCTACATAAAGAAGCCTTGTCTCAGAAACACCAGTGGGAGTGGGGAAGGAAGAAAATAGCACATGAACTGAGATCTTAAATAGGGTTTAATTAGATGAAGTTGGGGGGAAGGGGAAATGAATGTTCCAGGAACACTATAAACAAAGACTTGGTGATGGTAAGTAGTGTTATGAACTTGATAGGGGAAGATAGTCAGTTTGTCTGCAGTTATTAGAGACCATGCTGGAAAACGAGGCTGGAGAAACAGGGAGGGCTCAGATTCCTCAGGGGCTTCTCTGGCATTCTGGAAGAAGAGTCTAGTTAGAGCCTTTAATCCTAGGATTCTGATACTGTATGAATGGGCTCACAAGTTCTTTTTTCTGGCTCCAGAACTTTGAAATAATCTTTGGAGAAAAGACCACAGCTGCTCACAATGAGGAGGAGCAGTTGAGGGACTGCTCTGAGCCCAGCTTGAATCAGTACCTAGGCAGAGAAGGGGAGAGTCCACCTGACTTCCCTTCTGTGTTTTTCTCTGCAGGATGGCTCACTCTTGTCCTCACCATTCTTCAAGGGATTCCTGGCTGGCTATGTGGTGGCCAAACTGAGGGCATCAGCAGTATTGGGCTTTGCAGTAGGCACTTGTACTGGCATCTATGCAGCTCAGGCATATGCTGTGCCCAACGTGGAAAAGACATTGAAGGAATACTTTCGGTCACTACGAAAGGGGCCTGACTAGGCCTAATGGGGAAGGCAGGATGAGCATCTCAGGCCTGCAGGTGGAGGCCCTTTCATCCCAGACGCTCTGTCTGACTTTCTCTGCTGTCAGTTGTTTGTTGCCTCCACCTGTCCTGCCATTTTCATCCTTGCTTTTCTTCCTGCAGAGAGTGGACAGTGGCTTGTTGGCCTGCGCCCTGGACTCCTTCCCTCCCTAGTTCTATGGGATTGACCCCAAGATTGTGGATCACAAGCCCCTTCTTCCCTCACTATGGAGTGTGAGGCTGACTCATTTCCTCAGTAATCTCTCTGGTGATTTACCACAGCCCCTCCCTTGATTTCCCCCAAATCTGCCCCAATCTCTTTGCCCTTTGCTAACTATGAAGGCCACCCAGGGTCTGGTGTAGGCCATGAGTGTAGAGGATGGGGGTATGCCAGGCCTGGCCTCTCCCAGGCAGGCTCGCTGGACTCTGATGCTACTTCTGTCCACTGCCATGTATGGTGCCCATGCACCACTGTTAGCATTGTGCCATGTGGGTGGTCAAGTGCCCTTCCGACCCTCCTCAGCTGTATTGCTCACTGAGCTGACCAAGCTACTGTTGTCTGCCTTCTCCCTCCTGGTAGGCTGGCAAGCATGGCCCCAGGGCACCCCACCCTGGCGCCAGGCTGCACCTTTTGCACTATCAGCCTTGCTTTATGGCGTCAACAACAACCTGGTGATCTATCTACAGCGTTACATGGACCCCAGCACCTACCAGGTGCTGAGCAATCTCAAGATTGGAAGCACAGCTCTGTTCTACTGCCTCTGCCTCCGGCATCGCCTCTCGGCTCGCCAGGGATTGTCACTGCTGCTGCTGATGGCTGCAGGGGCCTGTTATGCATCAGGTGGCCTTCAGGACCCTATGAACACCCTTCCTGGACACCCCCCAGCAGCTGCTGTGAGCCCCATGCCCTTGCATATCACTCCACTGGGACTGCTGCTTCTCATCTTCTACTGCCTCATCTCTGGCTTGTCATCCGTATACACAGAGCTGATTATGAAGCGACAGCGGCTGCCCTTGGCACTTCAGAACCTCTTCCTCTACACTTTTGGGGTGATCCTGAACCTCGGTCTGCATGCAGGCAGTGGCCCAGGCCCAGGCCTTCTAGAGGGCTTCTCAGGATGGGCAGCACTGGTGGTGCTGAGCCAAGCAGTAAATGGACTGCTCATGTCAGCTGTCATGAAGCACGGCAGCAGCATCACACGCCTCTTCGTCGTGTCCTGCTCATTGGTGGTCAATGCTGTTCTTTCAGCAGTGCTGCTGCGACTGCAGCTCACAGCTGCCTTCTTCCTGGCCACACTGCTCATTGGCCTGGCTGTGCGCTTGTACTATGGCAGACCCTAGGTCCCTGACCACCTCCCCTCTCATTTCTGACTATGTAGGTGAGGTGCCACCACCAGGGCCACCTCCTAGGCCTCTCCCCCACTCTTCCCCCAGCAACCCTGTAAACAAGTGCCTTGTGAGAAGAACTAGGACAGCCAACTAGTCTTTGGGGGTTTAGGTGGGTGAGAAGTTCCTCTAGGAGGCATAGAGCGAGAGCTTGGTTAAAGAAACTCTTAACTCTAGCCAGGCATGATGGTGCACACCTTTAATCTCAGCACTTGGGAGGCAGAGGCAGGTTGATCTCAGTTCAAGTTGGAGTACCAATAATACCCAGGCCTGAGAAACCCATCCTTAAGGAAAGTTCTGTCTGCCTCATCCTGCATGAATATGGTTACTTCAAGTGGAGTGTGGGTGACAGCTCTTTCCTTGCCTGCTATGGTCACTCCAGCAGACTCCCTGCTCCTAAGCCTAGCACTGGCTGCTCCAACCCAGTGTGACTTCCATATAAGGGATGCTTAGTCCCTACTGTCATGCAGAAAGACCCAGTTGTCACAAATTATATAGCTATCAACTAGGTGACTCTTCCAAGCTCCCCCAACTCCAGCAGTGCCTGGAGATGTCCCTTGCCCCTTCCACAGTACTGCTCCCCTCAGCCAGCCTTATTCTGGAAAGCCCAGAGGGGGCTGGGGCTTGACTCATCTCAGGGAACACTGCCCCTGGGTCCTGGCTTAAGCCTACACTCCTGACCCTTTTGCTCACCCCAAGGGCCCTGTTGAAGCCCGCTGCCACCTCTAAGGTATCCTTCCCACTCTGGGTCTTGCCCCTGCCTCATAGTGTCCCAGCTTCCAGCAGCCTAGGAAAGCTCTGCAGAGTATCTTGGGACCAGGCACAAAAAAAATTCTATAGCTCAATCAGTGTCTACATTAGCAATAAGGTCTTGATAAAGTGTTCTAGGGTATAGGGTGCTTCTTACAACCATTGACAGTTGTCCTGTGTCTTCTGTGGTACATGGCTCCCCTCAACCATAATTTCCCCCTATTTTTGAGTAACATCTACACCAGGAGAAAATGTTTTCTCACAGCTATTGGCAGTGGCATTTGGTTTGGGAGCTCCAGGGGGTTGGGACTATTCCTTGACCAGTTATGGTGGGGCACATCTACAATCCCAATACTCTAGAAGGTGGACACAAGAGCTCATGTTCAAGGCCAATCTGAGCTACTTAATGAGACCCTGTCTCAAAAAAAAACTTGGAGAGGGGTAAGGTAGTGTACACTTGTAACCCCAATACTTGAGATATGGAGGCAGAAGGGTCAAGAGTGAAAGGTTAGCCTGAGCTACAGTAGACTGTCTCAAAGAAACAAAGGGCTGGGGTGGTAGCTCAAGAGTGGAGCACTTGCCTCGGTTCAATTCCCAATATTGAAAATTACTAAAAAAAAAAAAAAAAATCCTTGAGCTCTGGGGACTATAGAGAGTGTCTTGGGACTAAAAAATACTCTGCCCAGCACAATAAACTAGGCTAGAAAACTCTTCAGACGACAAATATCTTTTGTTTAGTTTTTTTTTTAATGTGTGTGAGTATTGCCTGCATGTATGTAGTGCACCTGTGTTGTACGATACCCGCAGAGGTCAGAGAGTGTTGGATCCCCTGGAACTGGAGTTCTGGAAAGTTACCAGCCATCATACGGGAATCAAAACGGTCCCCTGCTAAAGCAGGCAGCTCTCTTAACTACTGAGCCATCTTTCCAGCCCCCACAAATGGTTTTTGAGGCAGGGTCTCATGATAGCCCAGGCTGACCTCAGGCTCTGGAGTGCTGTTTGTGAGTGTGAGACATCACAACCAGCCACCTATGGTGAGATTATTTTCCCTGGTTCTGTCACTGCCAATTTCTATGGTCATCAGTCCTTTGAAATCATGACCAGAGGAATATCAGGCTCTGCTTTCATGGTGAGGTTTGGGGACCTATATTCTTGGGCTTCCTAGATGATAGTGATCTGACACTACTGAAGCTGTGAGCCATGACTGTTGTGTACAGTTGTGGCCAGACTGGAATTTAAATCCTGGTTCTGCCACTTGACTGTCCTTGGGCACTTCTTTGGGGAGGTTATCTCTGATTTTAGGGTCAAATGGCATGCATAAGGGGAACAGAAAAAGCAAAATGAAATGATAGATGTTAGGCACGTCACATTAGGGAGTGGCACAAGACGACAGGGTTAGAAGTGGTGGTAATTATCTGTAAAGAGGACCAGCTTGCTTGTCCCACCTTCCTCTTCCTTCTGGGGTCCTCATGAATGAGGAAGGAAATTGGCCCCAGAGCATTCTTGATCACGTTCCTCTCCTGCTCAGGAATCCAGTTTGACTGCCCCTGCCTGCAGTCTGTTCAAGCTGCTGGTTCTGGGCCTGGAGCTCCTGGTTCTTCAAAGCCAGATCAATGGTGTCTTGGAGGATTCTAGCCAGCAGACTGCGGTTATGGTGCTCTGTGGCCAGGGCCTTCTCCTCCCACAGTTCCTGCCAGGCTTGGAATACCTGTGTCCAGATTCAGAGATGCTGGTCAGTCCACCAGCCTTGGCAACAACTCAAGGCCTGTCCTTTTTATCATAACACTAACCTGCAGCAAGTGACATGTCCGGGCTTGGGTGGCCTGCACATACAGGTCATAGAGGGCCACCAGATCCTGCTCTGCTGTGTCCCGCTCTGCTTGCAGGACCTCCACCTGGAGTCTTAGCACTGTCTTCTCCTTGCACTGTCTCTGTCTCTGCTCACAAACCTTCAGAGATAATTTGTACGCCTTCAAGGCTCTGTGATAAATATGTGTGTTCTTGTTTCATTCATAACATCCTTATGAGGAAGTTGCCCTTTTACAGACTTGCAAATAGTGCACCAGGGAAGTAATCTAACCTGTGCAAATTCTCATGGCTAAAGCAGAATGGAGATGAGATAGCACATGCTTTCAACATTTCCTTATCCTCACTGGAGTGAAAGCTGAACTCAAGAGATATAGCACATTGCCTTCTTAGCTTTGCTTCTGACCATGCACTTGCTAGGCTCTAGCCAGACAGAACAATCTGGTTCCCAGAGCTGGTTTGGCCATTGCTCCCCTCTGCTTTGCTTACAGTCTTGGCTTCTCTGAGAATGTGTCCCCGCCACACTATTACATACACAATTTTTAGGCGGGGAACAGGGAGATGAGACAAGGTCTTCTTTATGGGCCATGCTGACCTTGATTTCATAATCCTCCTGCCTGTGCCTCCCAACTGATGGAATCACAGGCCTGCACCACCACACCTGGCCACATGTTTTATTTCTTTTAAACATTTGTTTACTGAATGCCCCTGTGAGGTGCACTAACTGCCCTAGAAGAGCCCAAAGCAATGAATTCCTGGGATGATACCTGATTTTTCCCGAGTCTCTGCTTAGATACCATCTCCTCTAATCCACTCCACCTGAGTAAAGTGTACCCCTTTGTTTCCTTATGCCCATAGCTTCTGCATCATAGCACACAGCACTGAGAATTGCCTCCTCTATAGGCTAAGAGGGCCATTCATATGAACCAGTCAGTTATGATAGATGCTGAATCCTTGCCTGCAGCACAATGCCTGGTCTAGATACAAGGAGCCTCAAGCCCCCTTCTTGTTCCTCCTCACCTCTTCAGTCACCAGGCTTTTGATCTGTTCACCTGCCACGTCCTCTTGCTGCTGCAAATGCTTCAGCTCTTCTTGGATCCAAATTTGGTGTTGCTCTCTCAATTTTTGCCTACGGGCCTGGGCCAGAAAGAACTGCAGAGCCACATCTGGGGTCTGATGGAACTAGAGGGTATCATTTGAGGCTTAGTCAGAAGGCTATGTGTGTATACAGCTTTGGAGTACAGAGCCCAACCTTCCCAACAGAACTTAAATGTCAGGGCTGTTTCCAAGAGCTAACTGGCCTGGAAGAGTATATGGCCTGAGCAGAGACTCAGGAGGCTATGGGTAGAGGGAGAGAAGATACTGGAAGGTACTGGGAGAAGGTTCTGCTGATGGGTGCTGTAGTAAGCCTAAGGATCCCATAACCATAATCTAAGTAGGAAATCAGCTCCTCCCCATGCTCCTCCCCATGCTCCTCCCTCAGAGATCTAGTAATGCTTTGTCAGAAACTTCATATTCCTCCCTGGCATTAGGACAAGGTAAGCAGAGGGCAGGTTAGCTGGGCTTGGGACCCCTTGCCACCCCAAATTTCCAGTTGTCCATGAGGTACCTGAAATATTACTATTACCTGTTCCTCAGAGTCCCTGAAAGGATGCTTTTGATGGAGCCTAGGTCCTAGAAGTCCTATTCCTGACTCTAGAAGAAAATGTAATCACATCAAAGTAGACACACACCTCTAGCTAACTCCCAAGTCCCACACCCATGATGGGGCTTCCTCCTGAAGACCTAGGCTATAGTTTGCTGCTAAATCTACCACCCGCTGAGAAGATATTAAGGAGTGACAGTTCCATACCCACCATTCCTGCCATGAGAATATAGGTTTAGTTCAGGCTTCTGAAATCAGACAGATTATGGGACCGGCTCATTTTCTTAACCATATGATCTCCAGTAAGTGACTAGCCTTCTGAGTCTCCAAGTTCTTTCCATAAAATAGAGCTAATAAAAGTTGTAGAGAGGGCCTGAGGAGATAGCTCAGCTGATAAAGTGCTTGTTGCACAGCATGAGAACCTAAATTCAATCCCCAGCACCTATATAAAAAGACAGGTGTGGTTAGGTGCACTTGTAATCCCAGCACAGGGATGGCAGAAACAGGCAAATACTAGGGTCTTGTTGGCTAGCGAGCCTAGCTTAATAGGTTGAGCCTCAGGTGCCAGTGAGAGACTCTGTCTCAAAAAACAAGATGGATGCCTCCTGAGGACTACCTAAGGTTGACAAAACCCAAGGTTGATTTCTGGCCTCCACAAGTACACATATGCACCCCCCACAAACACACACACAGGAACACACAAGTTGTGGAGAGCATGAATGACAACACAACTAAAGCACATGGCAGCAAGACATTTGCTTTAAAAAAAAATTGGAGGGGGCCTGGAGAGATGGCTCAGTGGTCAAGAACACTTGCTGTTCTTCCAGAGGACCGGGGTTCAATTCCCAGCACCCATATGGTGGCTAACAACCATCCATAACTCAAGTTCTGAGGGATACAACACCCTCTTCTGGCCTCTGTAGGCATTGCACACACGTGGGTCACTTACATGAGGGCAAAACACTCATGCACGTAAAAATTAAAATAATAAAATCTTTTTTAAAAATTAGAGGCTAATGTGCCTAATTCCCATGCCCAAGTCAATAAAAACAGGTTGTAAGTATACAATTGTTAAAAGGGAAAAGGATCATAAGAGGCTGGCTTGGCTGCCTTGCAGAAAATCCTGGAAGACAGGACCCTCTGTTGGACAAGAAAGGCTATGTCCCAGAGGATGAAACAATCACATTGCAATGACTTGAGATTGCCTCTGCTGCTTCTATGTGACCTTGACTATCCTGGGCTATTCATATATCTTCTCTGAGCCTCAGGTTGCTCACCTGACAAGTGGGAGAAATGTCTTCTCTGCTCACAAGACTTCAGCAGCTTGCCTTTAACCTTCAAGAAAGAGTCCAAATGTCTCAGTAGATTTTTAAAGTCTTATGTGACTTGGTCTCTGCCTCCCTCTCCAGTCCTTTCCTGGGCTGCTTATAATCCCCCGGAGATAACAAGAACTTGCTGACTCCAGTTTCTTCCTGTGAGTCTCCCTGCCTAGAATGTTCTTTCCTATCTTTGCTAACCTCCATCAGGAATCACTTCTTCATGAAATCTTCCTTTTTCTCCCTTCTCAAGACTGTGAAATGCCCCCTAGAACCATGTGTTTCTAAGCCTTTCAGAGCACTGATCATGGTGGTGTAATTGTTTCTTCTCATAGATTGAACTTCACAAGGACAGGGAAATCCTAGGGCTGACATAATACTGCACTGGCATGTGGTAAATGGTTAATAAATGTTTTGGAGTAAAAAAATGATTGTAATCTTTTGTAAACAAAAAAGAGGCAGTCTGATGTATAAAAAGCCCCCAAAAGTTTGGATAAGAAATCATACCTGTGGTTCTGGGAGCCTCATAGCCCCATTTCTGGCCCTTTTGGGTGTCTGGCTTCTTAGGCTCCTGGCTTTTATCACCTAAGGAGAAAGTTCTCAGAGTGGGCCATTTCTGATCCAAATGCCCCAAGTTCTCATTTTGCTTACCTGTAGCTCCCAAAGTGCCCTGCCTAGTCGATTAAGCCCACCATCTGTCAAGGTGTCTCCGAGGAGGTCTAAACGCAGGGTCTTAAGGTTGGCCTGGCGGGCCCGGGTCTCCTCTGTTGCATCCCACAGAGTGGGCCTCACCTGTTTCACCTGCATCCTTCTTCCTGAGGCCCCCAACAGAGCAGCCTGGAGCAAACTCAGGGAGCAACCTAGAAAGAGGTGGCACAATGGGTTACTTCTTCCTCTGCATCCCTGAGTACACTACCTATAACACTTGAAATTTCTATCAGGTATTGTTTATCAAAATACTTAACCCTCGCCTGGTGTGGTGGTATAGGTCTGTCACCCTAGCTACTCTGTAGCTGAAGCAGGATAGAAAATTCAAGGACTGTTTGGGCAACTTAATGAGCCTGTCTCAAAATAAAGATTAAAAGATGGGCTGGGGATGTAGCTCAGTGTTAGAGCGCTTGCCTAGCATGTATTAAGGCCCTAGGTTCAAACCCCAGTACAAAAACGAAACAAAAAACAAACAAAAAACCTAACCCCTTTCATTAGACTTTCATATGTGCCTCATGGCACTGTGCTCAGGCTGTTCATGGATTACCTTTTTATCCACAGCATCTCTAATCCATCTGACACCTAAAGCCTGTGTCATTATCAGGACAGCAACTGACCTATAGATAAGTACATGTGTGCCCCTTTCTGCTTTATCTTTGAGGGTGGGAAATGCCCTATCATATCTTTCTCATTCCATAGAGCTGGGCACAGGGGAAGGCCTGGGGACCTATCAACCAAATGAATGTGTTTGTTTGTTACGGAAAATTTCAAACATATACAAAGTATAGAAAATCCATCTACCTACCCAACTCACCTTTAACTGCTACTCTTTCTCTTTAAAGTGTTAGGGATCAGGGGGCTGGAGGGATGGCTCAGCGGTTAAGAGCAATGGCTGCTCTTTCAGAAGACCCAGCACCCACATGGCAGCTAACTACCTTCCGTAACTCCAGTTCCAGGGGATCTGATGCCCTCTTCTGATCCCCTCAGGCATTGCGTGACATGGGTACACCTACCTACATGCAGGCAATACACTCATACACATAAAATAAAAATAATAAATAAAATATTAAAAAATAAAGTGTTAGGGATCAACTCCCAAGGCTTAGCATGCTAGGCAAGTGAATTTACCACTGGGCTATATTCCCAAAAGTATAACATTTGTTATTTTCTAGACCCTGTTTCTTGTTTTTGTTTTTGTTTGAGACTATCTAGCTACGTTGCCCAGGCTGGCTCTGAGTTTGCAGTTCTACCATCTCAGCCTCCTGAGTGCAGAAATTATAGGTGCACACCACCACACCCAGCTTCATTGCCATTCTTCTCTGATCTATATCCCCCTATAATCATATAGTTTCAGAAGCTTTTTTTCTTAGACAGGTCTCACTATGTTGCCCTGGCTGGCTTGGAACTCATTATGCAGACCAGGCTGGCCTTGAACTCACAGAACTCTGCCTCTCTCCTGATTGCCATGATTAAAGGTGTGCACTACCAGGCCAGGCTTAGAAGCTGTATTTGCAATGGGTATATGAAAAAAGGTAAGCATTTTCCGCTCTGTGATCCTTCCTTTCTTCATCTATAAATTAGACCTGCCTCCCTCTCTCATCATTGGTACGTTAGGTCTACATCATTGGGTTTAGTAAGAATTAAAGGTATTATAGCTGGGTATGGTGGTTTACTCCTTCAATCCCAGCATTCAGAATGCCAGTGCAGGAGGACTGCCATAAGTTCAAGATCAGCTTGGGCTACACTGTCTAAATAAAATAAAAATAAAAGAAAGGAGATGGAGAGATGGCTCAGAGATTAAGAGTATTGCTTACTCTCTCAGAGGACCCAGGTTCAATACCCAGCAACTACTTGGCAGCTAACAACCCTTGTAACTCTAGTTCCGGGGGATCTGACGTCCTCTTCTGACCTCTGAGGGCATTGCATGACATGGTGCACCTACCAACATGCAGGCAATACACTCAAACACACAAAATTTAAAAATAAAATATTTTAAAATAATAAAGGAAAGAAAACAATAATGAAAGAAAGATATTAAAATATTTGGTAAGGGGCTAGAGAGATGGCTCATCAGTTAAGAGCACTGGCTGTTCTTCTAGAGGACCTGGGTTCAATTCCCAGCTAACAACTGTCCAGGGGATCAAGCACCTTCTTCTGGCCTCTACAGGCATTGCATGCACATGGTGTACTTCCATACATATAGGCAAAACACTCATACACATAAAATTAAATTTAAAAAATATAAATATATAAACATGATGGATGGATGGACAGATGGATGGATAGATAGATGGGTGGATAGATAGAAAGGAGCCAGAGTGTGGTGGCAAGCACCTATAATCCCAGTACTCAGGAAGCTAAGACAGAAGGATAGTGAGTTCTTGGCTAGCCTGAGCTACATATATACTTCAAGGCCAGCCTGAGCTACATAGGGTGACTCTGTCCTCAAGAAGGAAAAAATAAAACAACAGCTCAGTAAACTGTTGACAACCTCTAAGTGTAAGGAGTTGAGGCTGTTTTTACTATTACCTTTGACTTTTGGCACCCTGACCACAATGGGACCTTGCCGAATGCTGACCCACCCAGAGAATCAAGCTTTGTCCTTGCTTGCTGGAGTTCGCCAGGACTGGTTGGGTAACAGGATGAGGCAAACCTAAGACCAATTCCGAGAGCTTTCTGAAGAACCCTACCCCACCTCAGCCACCTTGGGGGTTCAGGCGAAGAAGTAAACTAGTGTAGTTGTTTCCTTCTAGGAGCCATGAGATGATCCAGGCCAAAGAGCCCTCTTCCTCCTGACCAGCAGCCTCACCAGCCAAAACTTGCAACAGGGGGCAGTTTCTGCTAGAGGGAGGGAAGAAAAGTGATGCCCACTAGTAGATGGGGAGAAACACTAGACAGAATCACGCTGACACAGTCTATTTTCAGCAACGTTTTTGTACCACCAGACAGATTTTCTACTGTGTATAGATCTTTATTTCATTTTATTACTTTTAAATCAATCTGTATCAAAACTTCAATGGAATATTAAAGTTTTTTCAATGGAATATTAAAGTTTTTTCAATGGCCTTTTATTATAAAATCAGAAATGGACTTTTGTAAGTACTAATAATCTTTAATAAAAATATATTTATTTATGTAAATAAAACTGATCTCTCTGTTAAAATAAATATATAAATAATAATGCCAAAAAGTGGAAAAGCCATTCCTGAAATTCATATATAATTTCAAGAACCCTCAGTAGCCAAAATAATGTTGAGTAGACCAAAGGTGGAGGCTCACATTTCCTGGTTGGAGGACTCATATTTTCTGGTTTCAAAACTTGCTGAAGTTTTCAACAGGGGCTGGAGAGATGGCTCAGAAGTTAAGAGCATTGGTTACCCATACAGAGGACCCAAGTTTGGTTCCCAGCACCCACATAGTGGCTAACAACCATATCTAACTCCAGTTCCAGGAAATCCAACTCCCTCTTCTGGCCTCCATGAGCTTTGCACACGTGATGCACTTGCATATGTGCAGGCAAAACACTAATACACATAAAAGAAAAATAAATCAAAAATATTTTTTAAAACTTACTGCATAATGACAGTGATTAAAATTGTATGATATTGACATAAAGATAGCCTTTGAAAATATCTGATACTTTCCATGATTTTTTTTAAAGTACTCAACAAAAGCCAGGCATGGTGACACATGCCTGTAATCCCAGTACTCAGGAGGTAGAGGCAGGAAGATCAGGAGTTCAAGGTCATTCTCAGCTATATACTGAGTATGAGGCCACCCTGGGATACATGAGACCCTGTCTCAAAAATTAATTAAAATAAAATAAAATGGAATTACTATATGACCCAGCTATATCACTTTTCAGTATACATCTAAGATAATTGAAAACATATGTTCAAGCAAAACTTATACAGTAATGTTCATAGTGTCATTATAAGCAATAGCCCAAAGTTGGAATAATTCAATTGTCTATTGGTGGATGAATGGACAAACAAAATGTGGTATATTTACACAATGAAATATCATTTGACCATAGTATAATATTATTTTATTTTTATTTTATTTGTGCATGTGTGTGTGTGTGTGTGTGTTTGTGTATGTGAATGTGAATGTGGGCATGTGTGTGCCACCATGAGCATGTGGAGGTCAGAGGACAACTTTTGGGAGTCAGTTCTCTGGGAATGGACTCTCTCCTTCCACAGTGGGATCCAGGGATCAAACTCAGATTGTCAGACTTGTGATTTTTCCCTGCTGAGCCATCTCACAGTGCTCCTAAATGAGGTTTTGATGTCATGAACCTTGTAAATACTATGCTAAATGAAAAACTCCAGATACAACAAGTCATGTATGGTATGATTCCATTTGTGTGAAAAGCCCAGAATTGGCAAATTTTAGAGAGAGTAATATCAGTGGTTGCCTTGATCTAGGAGTTGAGGGGCAGCATGGGGAATGACAATGAATGGAATCAAGTTTCCTTTTGGGAGTGAGGGAAATCTTCTAAAATTAGTGTTAAAAGATGTCTCATATTTAACTACAGACCAGAAAACAGAGAAGATGAAGTCATAAGAGGAGTTTAAGTGGCAACTTCCTGCTAACCTAACAAAAGAAGAAAGAAAGAAAAAAAACCTCAAAAAACCCAAAACCTGTTCTATATTTCTTTCCTGTATACTGAAGATTGACCATTAAGGTTCCACTGAATTTGGCTTGCAAAACCAACCAACCAAGGACTACCCTCCTATCCTAAGGCTGCCAGTTTGGTGTTGTCTCACCTCTCTTATTAAAGGCCAGTATAGGTTCAATGTAAGTTATTTGCCTGTTCTTCTCCAGAAAGTTTCATTATAAAACACTCAGCTTCTTGCCAGGCATGAGGATGCACATGGGAAATGCAGGAAAGAGGATCAGGAGTACAAGGTTAGCCTCAAAGATAGTGAGTTCAGGCCAGTGTGACATACATGAAACCGAAATAAAAATAAAAGACAAGCACTCGGGGAGGCAAAGGCAGGCGGATCTCTGTGAGTTTGAGGCCAGCCTGGTCTCCATAGTGAATCCAGGACAGCTGGGGCTACAGGGAGACCCTGTCTCAAAAAGACCCCCCAAAAAATAAAATTAAAAAAAAATAAATAAATGATAAATTTTAAATGTGAGGGGCTGGAGAGATGGCTCAGCACTTACAAGCACCAATTGCTCTTGCAGAGGACCAGAGTTCGATTCCCAGCACCCACATGGCAGCTAATAGCCATCTATAACTCCAGTTCCAGGGGATTTCAATGCCCTCTTCTGACTCTGCAGGCATTGCATGATACGGGTGCACTCACATACATGCAATACACTCATACACATAAAATAAAATAATAAATTAAAAAATTTTAATGTGAAAATACTGTTCTAGTTTGTTTTTCTGTTGCTGTAATTAAAACCTATGACCCAAAGCAACTTGGGCTAGAAAGGATTTATTTAATCTTAACCTCCAGGTTATTGTTCATCATTGACAGATCTAAGGGCAGAAACTCAGGGCAGGAATCTGGAGAACTGAACCATGAACCATGAAGAAAGGTTGTTTACTTGCCTGGTGCTCAGTTAGCTTTTTTTTTTTTTAGTTTTATTTATTATTTTTATTTTATGTGTATGAGTGTACTGCCTGCATGAATGTGAGTGCACCTGTATTGTGCAATGCTGTGGAGGTCAGAAGAGGGCTTCAGATTCTCCTGGAATTGGAGCTGTAGATGGCTATTAGCTGCCATGTGGGTGCTGGGAATCGAACTCCAGTCCTCTGTAAGAGCACCTGGTGCTCTTAACTGCTGAGCCATCTCTCCAGCCCCTCAGCTAGCTTTTTTGATACAGTTTGGTCCCACCTGCCTAGTGATGGTGTGGCCCACAGTGGTCTAGGCCCTCCCATATCAATCATCAATCAAGACAGCCTCTCACAGACATGGCCACAGGTCAATCTGATAGAGGCAGTTCTTCAGTTGAGGTTCCCCTCCCCCAGACAGTGTCAAGCTGACAATGAAAACTAACCAGCACAGGGGCTAGAGAGAGGGCTCAGTGGTTAAGAGCACTGGCTGCTCTTGCAGAGGACCTGGGTTTGGTTCACAGCACCCACGTGGCAGCTAACAACCATCATAACTCCAGTTCCAGGGGATCTGGTGCCCTCTTCTGACCTCCTTGGGCACTACATGACGTGGGTGCACTTACATGCACGCAGGCAATACCCTCCTACACATAAAAAATAATTAAATATTAAAGAAAGAAAACCAACCAGGGGCCTGGAGAGATGGCTCAGTGGTTAAGAGCACTGACTGCTCTTGCAGAGGACCCAGGTTCGATTCCCAGCACCCACATGGTGGCTACAAACTGTCCTTAACTCCAGTTCCAGGGGAATCTGAAGCCCTCTTCTGACCTCCACAGCATTGCACAACACGGGCGCACTCACATACATGCAGGCAATACACTCATACACATAAAATAAAAATAATAAAATATATATTTAAAAAAAGAAAACCACTGAAGAAAAAAACTTCTAGTGGATGAAGCAGGCTGGGGTCCATCCCAAACTTGCAGTCAGACTTCACAGTGTCATTCAACTGGTGCTGGCTTTAGAGGCATGAAAGATGCAAGAGTGAAGGGGTCTTCAGTTCTTCCTCTGCAGTTTCAGAGAGCCACAAATGCCAGGCAACTGGCCTTGAACTCATAGAGATCCATCTGCCTGCCTCTGCCTCCCGAGTGCTGGGACTACAGGCATGCACCACCACGCCTGGCTTGGTCCTTTTATTTTTGGTTAACATCTGTAACAGCCTTCTGTTTCATCAGTCACTTGATTTCTAACGTTTGATTAAACATCAGATGGCTGTGATCAGTGCACAACTTTGTGAGTACACTAAAAGCCACCAAGGGGTTGGGGATTTAGCATGTGCAAAGGTCCTCAGCTTCAGGGGAAAAAGTCACTGAATTATATATTTTAAGAAAATAGACTTGGGCTGGAGAGATGGCTCAGTGGTCAAAAGCACACACTGCTCTTGCAGAGGACCTGAGTTCAGTTTCCACCATCCACACTGGACAGCTAACAACTACCTGTAACTCCATCTTTAGGGGATAAGCTCCTCTGGCCTATATGGGCACTGCACACATGTGTGTACCCCCCATACACATACATATAATTAAAAATAATAAAAATATTTTTAAAAAAGAGAATGAACTTTATGATATGTAAATTATATTTCAGTGTAGGTGGGCTTGAGTGTTTGTTCATTTGTTTGTCTGAGATAAAGTTTCTTTTGTAGCCTATGCTGGCCTTGAACTCAGATCCTCCTGCCTCACCTTCTAATTTTGGAATACAGGTGTGTGTTGCTACCAGAATTTAGGTTCTTTTTTCTCCTTTTTTGTTTCTATTTTGTTTTTAGATACTTCTGAATTTGGCAGTATTCCCATTATATTACACATTTTGCAAATTGGCTTGCAATGATTATTTGCTGTGACACTTGAGGCCTTCATTCCTTTTTAGCATTGAGGGGAAGGCATGATGTGGGGCATGAAGAATGGCTGGCTTCTTGGGGATTTTCCAATCTCAGCTTTGGACATTTAGATTCACATCCATACTTCTGCCCCCATCTCACCTCCCAATGCAACCAGAAGACCCCCTTGAACTTACAAGGCTCTTGGAAGCTGCAGGATTCTCAAGGTACCTCGCCACACTCGCTGGGTCTCAGACCTCTCAGGAGGGTTGGGCCCAGGGCAGGACATGGTGAGAGTAAGCAGAGAGCAGGTCCTACAGAAGACAGAGCAGGCTCAGGATTGACACCTGGGGACTGGGCAGGGTTGGGGGCGTGGAACAGTAGAGGTGACCTCTTGTCCTCACCTGCCTTCACTCCCTGCAGCCTGCAAGTACAGCTCAGAGGCAGCTTGTGAGTCAGACACCTCAATTTCACTGGCATTTTCCACCACCCTGGAGGAAGAGGAAGCTCTTCAGCATCAGTGCTCTTCAGAAACTCCTAGAATCTCTGTGTGGGAAGCCCATAACAGTGTCCATAGCCCATAAGAATTATGCCAAAGGCTGCAGCCTCAGTATACTTCCTTAAATATCTCTCATATTCCTAACCTAATGTTTCCTCCTGTGATATCTCCAGGGAGGGATACTAGTTAGCTGGGGTTATCTCCATTTCACAGATGGAGAAACTGCCTAGTGAAGTACTCAAAATCACTCCATGTGATACTGGGCTGAGTCAAGCCATGAATGTGGGCAGGGAGTTGAAGAAGAATTGGGGTAAGAGGAATAAGATGTATAGGATCTGGGATAAAGGGAGGAGGGTAGGAAGGGGTTCTAGGAGAGACCCAGGCCCTATAGGCATGACTCAAAGCCCAGGGCTTTGTTCTCCTGGGATGACAAGAGTAGAAATCTCCAAAGTCTTAGCTTGCAGGAGTCATTGCTACTTTTAGGCAAGCACCCTTACCCCAATGGTCCCTGAACACTTACAAGCCGACAGGGGCCACATCCAGGACTGGCAGTTCCTCCCATCCTGGGGAGAGCAGGTCCTGGGTCTGCCCACTGGGACTGATCTGAGATCACACAAAGGCATTTGTTAAAAACTGAGCCTTTCCCTTCCCATGGGTCCCATGGGCTAAGCAGAGAGGAAGAGTTTGCCATTGACAGATGGTGTATAAAGGAGGCCCCAGAGAGGCAGACTCCTAATTGAGTAGCAGAGTGGGGCTGGCTGCAATCTGTTCTCACTCCCCACAAGCCCCGGGCTGTTTCTGTGGTGTCACATTGCTCCGCCTCCCCAGTTCTCCCTTGGCCCCTTCCTCTAGTGATCTCACCTGTACCAAGCTAAGAGTACTAAATACATGGTCAGAACAGCAGAAGGGCAGGGCTTCCTCAAACAGCATCCGCAGCAGCTGAAGTGGAGACAGGGACTCAGTGTGGAATGAGAAAGCATCAATCTGTCCTACGGCATTTCCTGAGATGACGCCTGTAACATGCCCTGTGCTGGTACTGGGTACATAGTGAGCAGAACAGGAGCCATGCCAGCCCTCACATTCCCAGCAATCCAGATAAAGAAGCAAATATTTTCCATGGGACGTGCTGTTGCTGGGCAGGAGGTGTGGTAAGGTTCTGAGGCAGCTATGCTGATTTGGGGGCATTTTGATGAAGTCACAACAGCAAAGTTTTCAAGTGTGATATTATTGCCAACAAGTATGGGAATTAGTCCTTCTGATCTTTACATGCCACCCCTCCCTGACTCTGATGCCATCAGCCCAAGACTCCCATTATTATGGAATTTGGGGTCACAGGCTATTCCCTAAGAAGCCAGGTTCAGCTATCCATCTTTGAGAAGCCAATTAAAACAGCCAGAGTGATAGTAAAAAGTCAGAAAAAGATTTATTCAAAGTAGCCACTTTGGAAAGAGGGACAAAGAGATTCAGTGACCTCCTCAAGTTCATCTTCAGGGTCCTGAAATGAAATTCCTGGGTGGAAATTCCGGTTTCTTAAGGTCCATTGTTTCAACAATCTAATAGATTGAGGGACAAGCATCTTTTTAGAATATACTGATTTCTACCAGGCTGGTTACACTTTTTTCTGACCATCCAATAGCTGCATGAAGTAACCCTGGTAAAATGTCCTGCATGGATCACAGGGTGTCATAGGAAGCCCAGGAGGTCTCTAGGCCTGTGGTGAGCATGCAAAGATTTCTCAAGGTCTCCCAGGAGACCTATGCATTGTGGATCTTGGCTCCTCACCTGAGGCACAAACCGGGGTGCCTCTGTTTCGCAGCCCTGGAGCATCAAGGCTACATTGTACCCTCTGCCCACTGAGGCCAGTAGAGGCTGGACTTGGGCCAACAGCTCCTGCTCTGCTTCCTATAGGGAGACACAAGCACATTCCTGTCAGGTAAACTGTAACAGCCTGCCCTGAGCAAAAGGACTGGAGATCAGTCAAAATCCTAGGATACAGTGGCCTGAGGACTCCCATCCTCCTCACATAACTCTCTCAGAACCCCCTACCTGAGCGGCATCAGGCCCCAGGACTCTGTCAAAGGTGAAACATTGTTCCTATAAGAGTGGCTGGAATCAGTAATGACATTCCCATCTTCCCCTGCCGCCCCCTCTCCCCCATCCTGCCTTATCTACCTGAGGCTCCAGCGTTCCTGGATGAAGTAGACGAATGTTCTTGGGCCCCTCCAGAAGAAGTGTGGGACCATGGGTCTCCTCTGGGCCTGAGAGAGGTATACAGTATATTAGCTTTCATGAGAGAACAGGAGGTCCTGAGTCTTGCTCACAGCCTGAGTTTCTGACCTGAGCAGACTTAGTCCTGTCTCTTCCAAGAGGTTCTCCTGGCTTCCCTCCTTCAGGCTTTCTTTTTTCTTTTCTTCTTGAATGTAGTAGTGGGAATTGAACTTGGGGGCTTACACATGCTAGACAAGTGCTCTACCATTGAGCCATATTCCTAGGCACCCCCCCACCTTTGAGACAGTTCCTATGTAGTTGAGGCTGGCCTAGAATTTGGTTATATAGCCAAGGATGACCTTGAACTTCTCCTCCTGCCTCCACCTCCCAGTGCTGAGATTACAAGTGTGTGCCACTACATATAGTTTGTGTAGTGTGGGGATTAAACCTAGGGTGTCATGCAGGCCAGGCAAGCACCACCTGAGCTACAGCCTCAGATCTCATCAAAGCTTCTTTTGTTAAAAAAATATTTTATTTATTATTTTTATTTTATGTGTACGAGTGTACTGCCTGCATGTATGTGAGTGCACCCATGTCGTGCAATACCACGGAGGTCAGAAGAGGGCTTTGGATTCCCCTGGAACTGGAGTTAAGGATGGTTTGTAGCCACCATGTGGGTGCTGGGAATCGAACCCGGGTCCTCTGCAAGAGCAGTCTCTTAACCGCTGAGCCATCTCTCTAGCCCCTCATCAAAGCTTCTTACCTGATCTCCAACCTGGCTCCACTTCTACCACCACGATCAGTTTGGTAGGCGGCATGGGAGAAACCGCATGAGCCCCTTGAGGACACAGAGCAGCCTGGTCCATGGCAGCCTTCGTGTTCACCACCTCTCCAGGCTCAATGGCTTCTGAGTCTCTCAAATTCCCCTTAATAATTCATGTCCCTCATCTGAGAGCCAAGGGGTGGGGGTCAGTGGCTCTGGATGGATAACCTCTCAAAGGAAGTGACACTCCCCTCTTTTCTGAGAATACTCCCCAGAGGTTTTCTTTTTCTTTTTCTTTTTCTTTTTCCCCCTTTATGAAAACTTCCAAACAGATATAATGGTGGAGAGAACAGTAAAATCAATCTTTAGGTGCCCAGTCTCATCAGTTACCAACTTCTGGCCTGTCTTATTTCTTTGGTTCCCTTCCCAATCTAATGGGTTACTTTGAAATGATTCCCTGGCATCCTATTTCATAGCTATTTCCCCATATATTTCTTTTGTTTTAGTGTGGGGTTTTTTGTTTTGTTTTGTTTTGCTTGTTTAGACAGGGTCTCCCTGTAGCCCCCAGGTGGCCTGGAACTCACTGTGTAGACCAGACTGCCCTCCATCTCACAGAAATCTACCTGCCTCTGCCTCATAAGTGCTGGGATTAAAGGTATGTACCACCATGCCTAGCTTTTTTTTTGTTATTTAATTTAGTTATTTAATGTGCATGAGTGTTTTGCCTGCATGTGTAAGTGCACCCACACAAGCCTTAAACCAATGTGCTGTGAGCCACTGCTCCAGCCTTTCCTCATTTTATTTTGAGACAGGGCTAGCCTTGAACTAGCTAAGAAGCTGAGGATGACTTTGAACTTTTGATTCTCTTGCTTCCTCTCTCAAGTGCTGGGATTACAAGATTGAACAACCCTGACCAGCTTTTCCCTTCATTTTAGACAACAGGTGTTTTGATTGCTTGCTGGAGCTCTCTACTAAACCATCAATTTAAAGATAATGGGGCTGGAGAGATGGCTTAGCCGTTAAGAACATTTGCTGTTCTTCCAGAGGACCTGGGTTCAATTCCCAGCACCCTCAGGGTGGCTAATGACCATTGGTAACTCCAGTTCCAGGGTATCTGACACCCTCTTCTGGCGTTTGTGGGCATTGCATGTATGTACACTTTTTTTTTTTTGGTCTTTTTGAGACAGGGTCTCCTTGTAGCCCCAGCTGTCCTGGAACTCATTATGTAGACCAGGCTGGCCTTGAACACACAGATATCCCCCTGCCTCTGCCTCCCGAGTGCTGGGATTAAAGGCATGTGCCACCATGCCTGACTCTTTGCATGTAGTACATTTATATATATGCAGGCAAAAACACTCATACACATAAAAAGAAAAATAATAAAATATTTTAAAGATAATATGCAACATAACATGTCCACTTGATATATCTCTTTGCCCACTGTCATTCACTGTGTGCTGTAAAATATGATTCTTGGTCTGAAAAAAAATGTAACATCATGGCCTGAATTGATGTAATACCTTTTCCCCCCACATTTACTAGTATTTTGAGTATTTGAATCTATTACCACTGAGTGTGTAAAGCCCAGCTAAAACGCACATCTATTCCTGTCAGGACCATTTGTAGCCCCCAGAGTTGCCAGCATTGGTTCAGTGTAATTCACTTGCCAGCTTTGTGTGGCCTTCCCTTGTGAGGGGGGCTCTGCCTTAAAGCCACCTACAGACTCTGTCTCTTGTTGGCAGAAAAAACAGTTCTTGATGACATTTTGTTCTTCAAAGGATGCAAGAATAGATGTCCACATATCTGCAGTGTCCTACTATTACTGGAGGGAGTCTCGGGTGTCCCATGATACAATGTCCAGATTCTTTATGTCTCAAACAACAAATTGGACAGGACACGGAGTATTAGTAAATATAGAATGTATTAAAAGAGAGAGTGGGCTGGGCATGGTGGCACAATACCTTTAGTCCCAGTACTCTGGAGGCAGAGGCTGGCAGATCCCTGTGAGTTCAAGGCCAGCTTGGTCTACATAGTGAGTTTCATGCCAGCTGGGGCTACAGGGAGACCCTGTTTCAAATAAAAATAAATAAATAAAAGAGAGAGAGAGTGGAAGCATAGAGTGCGCTCCACAGAAAGGGAGCAGGCTCGAGCAGGTGCTCAAAGGAAGAGCCCCAAGTTCTTTTCTGGGGTTCTTTATAAACAGTTTGGGTGGAAGTGAGGCAGGAGAGAGAGGCAGGACAAATTATGAAGACATGAGCCAGGAGAGGGGCTCTCACCCAGGAATCCTGTCGAAGGCACTGGACAACAGAGAAGCAAGAATTCCAGCACAAGTTACAACCGCGTACAGCGTTTCTCCATCCCCAGCTGTAAACCTGAAATTTTCTAGGGGTCTCATCAGAAACCACTTACAGAGGAGGGACATGTACTAGCCCCCCTGTGCAGTTCTAGCGGCTCCTGGTTTCACTTTAGCTAAGATTATGGTTCCATTCAAGGCATCTTCAGAGCCACCATATAATTTCACTCATCAAGAAAGAGAGAAATGGGGGAGCGGGAGGGGGAGGGTTTCTTAGCAACCTTTCGAGACCTAACTTGAGAGCTAACAACATGGTATGTACGACTGATACTAAGACAATTCATTGTGCCTCTGCCTTGAGGAGCCCACTTGGGTTATATCTGACTTCCCTCCCCTCTCAGGAAGCACATACCTAACTCGAGCGCCCTTTTACCTCTTGCTCAACCTTCCACCTCTGTTTCAAATTGGAGCGGCCTAAAATTCTTTCCTGCTTGAAGCCACCAGTCCTGGTTTGGCCTGAGTCAAGGTCACTGAAAAATTAGGGGAATTCCTTAGGCTGCTGAGGGTGGCAGTGTGGAGCTAGGTATCTGTCCCAAGACAGCTGACAGAGGGAGGAGTTGATCTTCCGGGGCGGGAATGGGGTGGATCCTTACCCTGATTGAAGGTCTCGCATAAGTTTGTGTCGTGTGCGCATGCGCGGGTGTAATTTTAAGCATATGTACGCCCAGTCATACATATACATAAGATAGGGATTTTCTTCTAACAAAGTACTTCAAGAACAGATTCGCAACCTCTGTGCTTGCGCCCAGTATTGGTATAAGTTGGCCTTATTTGCCCTGCCCTACAAGGAAGTGCCTGACCCTAAATTACCCGAAGGGAAGGTGCTGGTGTCCCTGTAAGGAAGGGGAGGACACATTTTTCCAAGGGGCATTACCCAGGTCTCTGGGAGGTTTGTATGTAGCCTGTCTCACCAAACCTACTTATTTCAGGTTCCTAACTAACCACCTCGGGTGAGCACACTGGGAAACTCAAACTTCAGGAGATTGTGGGATGTTGGGACTCTTCAGGAGATGCTGGGAATCATCTTGTTCTACTTTAATAATTCTCTAAAACTCGAAGTGAATCCCTTAAAAAAAATAAAACGTATTTTTTGGAGGTGGAAATTGACTATTGCTCTTTAAAAAAATTTTTTTTAATTACTTTTATTTAGCCTGAAGGGGAGTGGGGTGGACAAACTTGCCATGGCTTACATTCAGAGCTCACAGGTCAATGTACTGAATTCAGTATTCCTCTTCCACCATGTGGGTCCCCAGGATCAAACTGAGGTTATCAAGCTTGGCAATACCCACTGAGCCATCTCACCGCCTTATTTATTTACTTTTAAGGCCAGGTATTGCCATGTAGCTCAGGCTGGCCTGGAATTTGCTGTATAGCTTAAGTTGGCTTCAAACTCAAGATCATTCTACCTCTGTTTCCTGGCTGAGGCCAAACAGGCTGTTATCCCAGCTGTGAGTCAGTAGAAACCCAGGTGTAAGAGCAAACAGCATGCAGAAAAAAACTGACCCATTTTTTTCCTTCATAGATCAGAGAGGTGGCCTCCCCCTGAAAAAGATTCTGAATATTCACCTTAGAAATGACATTATAGCTGGGCATGGTGAGCCACACCTTTAAACCCAGCACTGGGGTGGGGATGGGGGGCAAAGACAGGCAATTCTCTGTGAGATTGAGGCCAACCTAGTCTACATAGTGAGTTCCAGGCCAGCTGGGGCTGCAGGAAGAGGCTGTCTCACAAAAAGAGGAAGTGCCATTATAAACCAAGTAGCTTTTTGCTGTGCAGATGGTGAGCTGTGACCAAATCTGGCACCTTCTCAGGTTAGTTCCAATTTCATTTTTAGGGGGAAAAAGGTCTGTTTTCTAGGGAACATGGCAAGTACAGTGTGTGCTTGCATTCCCTACATAGTATGTTCTGCACAAACCATTTCCATTTTGTTTTGAACACTTCTGGGCACTTCATTCTCCATTACAGAGTTTCCCCAACACTTCTAAAACATGCATATCTTATGTTATGTCTTTCAGTTATAGGGAAAGTTCCACTTAATGTTTAAAAGCAAGCTAGGAATTATTTCTCAAATGAAAATTCTCTGGTCCAAAGTCCCAGCATTTATCATAGGTGCTGTGCACCAGCTCTTGCTTTAATCCCAGTATGTACCCCCTGCCAACTACTGTCTTTTCTAAGATTTAAATACAGAGGTCAGAGGAGATCATCAGATCTTTTGGAACTAGAGCTACAGGTAGTTGTGTTGGAAACTTAAACCCTGGAAGAACAGCAAGTATGGGCTAGAAAGGTGGCTCATTGGTTAAGAGCACTGGTACTCTTTCAGAGGATTCAGGTTCAACTCCCAGCACCCATGGTGCTAACAACCATCAGTAACTCCAGTTCCAGGGGATTCGGTGCCTTCTTGTGACCTCTAAAGGAATTGCAGGACATGGGTGCACTTACATGCAGGCAATGCACTCACACACATAAAATTCTTTTTCTTTTTTTTTTTATCTTTTTGAGACAGGATCTCCCTGTAGCCCCAAGTGACCTGGAACTCACTATGTAGACCAGGCTGGCCTTGAACTCACAGAGATCTGCCGGCCTCTGCCTCCCAAGTGCTGGGACTAAAGGTGTGCGCCAAACCTCTGAGCCATTTCACCAGCCCCTTTTAATTTTTTTTTTTTTTGAGAGAGAGGATCTCACTATATAGCCCTGGCTGGCCTAGAAATCACTATGTAGACCAGGCTGGCCTTGAACTCACAGAGATCCACCTGCCTTTGCTTCCCGAGTGCTGGTTTTAAAGATGTACACCACTATGCTCAGCATATTTTCATTAAAATGTTTGTTTATTTATTTATTTATTTATTTATTTACATGTATGGGTGTTTGGGGTACATGTATGTAAGTACACCATGTTCATATAATACCTCGGGAGGTCAGAAGAGGGTATCATATCCCCTGGAACTGGTGTTACAGATGGTGTTAGCCACCATGTGGATGCTGGGAACCCAACCCAGGCCTTCTACAAGAGTAGCCAGTGCCCCTAACAGCTGAGCTATCTCTCTAGCCCCATATTTTCATTTCTTAAATATGTGTATGTAATGAGTGCATGTGTTTGTGCAGTTACATGTGCACATTTGTGCAAACACATATGGATTCCGGAGAACAGGAATACTGTTCCTTGGATCAGGAATATGGTCCACCACCTT